TAATTTCATTTCAATCATCATCAATAAATCTTCAAGATAGTTCTACTAATATATACAATAATAATAATACAGGAATAAATGATTACATAGATAAGTAAACTAATCTGATGGAGATGACAGCGGTGGAGAAACAAATACATCCTCTTTATCATCAAATAATCATATAGCTGAAGTTGAAGATAAATTTGATTTAGAATTTTCTCAACATTAACTCGGACACTTAAATCCAATTCATAGTAATGATGAAGATTTTAAACTTTCTAGTATTAATAATTATTGGAATAAAGATAATAAATATCCTGAACACAAAATAACTACTTTTATATCATTAATTTGTTTCACTAGTCAAATACAAAAGAATCACTATACTAAATGGTGATTTCTAAATTATAAATTAGCCCAAATTCAGTAAAAATTGACTGTCCTATTGCATCATCCTATATTATAAATTAGCTAAAATTGGAATTCCTTTTGGTATGGCATATCTTTTGTATTTGATATGTGTTTTGAGCAGGTATGTTTTTAATTTTTATAATAAATATTTAAATTTTTTATTTATACTAACATAACTTTTAAAATTTAGATTAAACGTTTTATACATATTTAGACTGTTCTATTCCACCTTTATATTGGAAATCTAAATTAGATCCATTGGCAAATCATCTTTGAAAAGTTTCAAATCAATTTGTATTCCATTATATAATGATCAATTGATGAAACGATTGCTCAATTTTCTGGTCAAAGTGCACACACAGTCAGAATTAAAAATAAATACAAAAGAATCACTGACCAAATGGTGATTAACAATCAGCTGTCCTATTGCATCCTATATTATAAATTATCTTTAATATTTGACCTGTGACAATATTTGCTTACCTACATAGTGACACTTTTTGGTCTATTATTAAACCAATTTTTTTGGATACAGTGACGTCTTATACAGACTAATTCTATCAATTATTATTTTGAAATGATTTATGAATATTATTTATTTGTCGTTATAAATAATTAGCTCTAAAGAATTTTATTCATAAGTGTACAATGTAAATGAAAATTTATAAATCATATTAAAAATCTTAAAATATGTTTTATGCGAAACTAAAATGCGTTAGTTAATCTTCTTCCACATAAAAAATAAACAAATGAATTATCTTCTTGACAAATTGAGTTGTTCTCTCTTCATATTTACAATTTTTAATAATTCTTTTATTTCCTCAAAAGCATTCTAAAGATTTTTAGTTAATTGAGTTTTATATGTGTTTCCGCCAGCATTTGCCTAATCTTCAATTTTTTGAATTTATAGTCAGAGAAAGATATTTGATAAAAACTTTATTATTGATAAAAATAAATGAATAGCTTATACAGTATGATCTTATAATTTTATAATAACCTAAAAAAAGATTATTCGACCTATTAATTCTTCTAATAATATATCGGCATTCGTATTCCCGTTTTCCTTTGCTTTATTCAACCAGTAGACAGCTTTTATAATATCTTTACGTCCTTCATAAAAGTGTCCACCAATAGCATATTGAGCATCAGTGTATTCATTTTCGGCAGATTTTCTATACCATTCAAATGCTTTTATTTGATCCTCATCAATTCCTTCGCCATTTAAATAATAGCATCCTAAAGTATGTTGTATCCAAGGATCTCCTTTTTCAGCACCTTTAAAATACCACCGAAATGCTTCTTTTTTATTTACACTCACACCTATACCTTTGTCATAACAAAATCCGGTATTATGAATAGAATCTATATTTCCGGCAAGAGCAGATCCTAAACACAATTGGAACCCTTTGACTTCATCTTTTGCTATTCCTGTTCCATTCCTATAACAAACACTAACATTATATTGTGCAACATGACTTCCTTTTTCAGCGGATTTCAAATATAATTCAAATGCTTTTTCTTCATTTTGTTCAATTCCAAGCCCATTAAAGTAACAATATGCCACACAATTTAAAGCGATAGTAGACCCTTCATTTGCAACTATTGAATAGATCTGAAAACTTTTTTTCAAATCTTTTTCGACGCCTATACCATCAAAGTATATATGTGCAAGATAGATAATTCCAATTTCTTTGTTAATATTGTAAAATTTCCTTAGTGAAAGATTTGAGGAGATATTCTTCATATAAATTTTTTCATCAGCAGCTAAATTAAAGTATTTAAATGCCATTTGGTTATCAATAACAGTCCCAATACCATACTGGTAAAAAAATCCTATAAAGCTGGTGAACCAATAATTAGATGAATTCCTAATCATTTTATGTAAAATTTTAACCGGATTCAAATTATGTTCTCTAACATAATTTTTGATCATAATTGGTCGTATTTCTAGGGACTGAATATTAAAAATATTGATAAAAAATTCAAATAATTTTTTAATAAATATGATATCATAATTAATAGTTTTAGTTGTTATGGAATCAATGGAAGGATGATTAAATTGAATTTCTTCTTCATTAGAGTTCTCTAAATTGATTTCAGAAAGAGAATTAACAACTTCAAAGATGCCTGGTCGGGAATTTCCATGGTTATTCAGACAATCTATTCAAATGTAACGAATTTACATTAATATAATACTGTTAATAATTAATTTAAATATATTTTAAATTTATACCTGTATAAATTTCTTTATATTTAGGTGGAATTCCAGGTATACTCTTTTCTCTTTTTAGTTTTACAATAGTATCATTTATCAAATCAATAATATTATTATTTGTTGGCGATGATAAAGTTGATTTTGTTATTAATTCATTTTCGTAAGGAGAAATACCATCATTAGAAATTTCCCAAAGGATAATTCCTAAACTGTAAATATCTAAACTTTTATTAAATAATTCTAAATATCTAAAATCTGTATATTGAATAGGGATAGTAACAGTTGTAGTAAGGGATTTTAAATAGTTTATGTCAAAATCATTTAGTTTAATAGTTCCATTATGAACAAGAATGCTTTCGGAAGTCTAAAAAAATTATTATAAAATAATTAAATTCTAAATAATTAAAAATTATAATCATAAAAGTTAATTAAACAAATAATTACCAATTTTCCATGAATAATATTATTATCATGTAAATTCATTAAAGCATTTGCAATTTGTTTTGCCAAATTTAATTTTATATTCCAATCGAATTTTTGAAAATTTGTTTTCAAATATTGACGAAGAGAACCATTGTTTGCGTATTCGAGAACAATCATATAATTCTTGGTATTCTCTGTAATAATAATTAATTAATAAATAAAATTTAATTAGTCAATAGATAAATAAAAGTTAATCATTTTAATTTTATATTAATTTTACCTTGTTTAGTAATGCCATAAAACTTAAGAATGTTATCGTTAATTTCCAATTTTCGATGTCTTCTAACCTAAATAAATGAAAAGTAAAAAAAAAAAACTAAAATAACAAATAACTTAGTTGCAATGTTCAACAGATAACTTACTTCATTTATAAGATCATTTAAAGAAATACATTTAAGAGCTACTGCTTCGATTATTTTTTTAATATGAGCTTTATAAACATTTTTGTTAATTAATTTTACATTTTTAAATTTTGAATAATGATAAAATGGAATATCCTCATAGCATTCATATTCTGTTATATTATTTGTTTTTATTTTTTTCCTTTGAGACATTTAAAATATTGAGAAAATAAAAATGAGTAAATGAATGAAACGAACTTTATATTGACAATGTTTCGAACTACGCCGCATAACACAAATAATTTTTTTCGCTGATCGCTCCAAAAAAATAATAAATTTTTCCTTGTAAAAATAATTGTATAAATTGTATAAATATTTTAATTGGTTTTGTTTTTAACGCATCTGCTCTGCATGGGCTGACAGATAAGGTGACAAATATAGTTTTCGCATGCTAAAAATTCCCCAGGATTTATAATAAACACAGGGTGACAAATTTTTACCCTTGAACCAATGCATTTTTTCATATGAGAAAAATTTGTGAAATTCCACCGCCATGAGCTATAACGCTGATACGTTAAAAAAACATGATCCTTTTTAGTTTAAAATATAAAAAAGTGTTTCCGTATTTTATGGTTTATTTTTGTGAATTCAATTTAACTTTATACAGTCCAGTCTGTCTATACACCCTAAGTAATCACATCTTTGTATAATCACACTTTTTGCGAGAACCAATACATAGTAAAGCTTTATAAAAAAATCTTATAAACACAATTTTCTATAATCACCAAATATACTGGTCCCGATGATGTGATTGTAGAGAGCAAGAATGCATTAGAAAAATTTTAATTCCAGGTATGGAACACGAATTATAAGTCCGATAATAAGTTAAATAAATAATCTCTCGATAATAGATTAAAAAAAAAAAAAACTTTATAAAGATCCAATATGATGATATTCAAAGAAACTTTATTTTTCAAGAAACCCCCAAAAATAATAAATTAACGACATTATCATTATTTGAATCATTTATTAAAATATTGTGTAATTATAATCTTCAGCGAAGCAATTAGTTTTGGTAATCATAATAATTACCATCGATATATTGAACAATATTCTTTCTCCTCCTTTTAATAAATTCAATAATAAATTTGATAATAAATTATTTTGCGAAATAAGTAATACAAATATTATAAGTAATAGTAATATTTATTATTAAACAGAAACAATCACAACTAAAGTTCCCGTGGTAAAACATGTTAATAAATTGTGAGGCTGATAAACCGTAAGTGCAAATATATCAAATATATCTATTAAAAATATTTTAATCTTGTTTTAATGACATTGAATTAATGATATTAATGACTGATGAATTAATGATTAATATTGATGATTAACGATTAATGATTGATTTATGATTTGATTGTAAATATAGAAAAGACAGAAAGAATCTAGCAGACCACATCGTGTTGAGTTCGATACATTGAAGGTAATAACGATGATGATGATGCTACACAAAGGGAAAATATGATGAGTGAGGATGTTGCATCGAATTCGACTACAACAACTTTATGAAAGAATTGACAGTTGATTATAAAAATGAGTACGAGTTGAAGGGAATGTCAATTTCTAAAATATTTATTCAACGTCGCCTTGATTATTCTTCAGATAATCCATTTAATCAAAAAATTCGAGAAAACCAAGATGATCATGTTACGATCGAAAATGTTAATGAGGAGAATGAATGGTATCATTTCAGTCATCATCAATAAATCTCCAAGATAGTTCTACTAATATATAGACAATTATATAATAAATGAGCACGTAGATAATGTAAATGAATCTGATGATGGTGGCAGCGGTGGAGAAACAAATACATCCTCTTTATTATCACATAATAATATAGTAAAAGTTGAATGCAAATTTGATGATGAAGGTGATTTAGAATCTTCTCAACGTTAACTCATAATATTCAACCTGGACACGTAAATCCAATTTATAATGATGATGATGATAAAGATTCTGAAGGGGAGGAACTGGAATCTATCATTAATGCATTATCATCATCATCAACAACGACGAAAGTATGATTGGCAGTTAGAATTTTATAAAGGTGAACGTATAAATTTAGGTTCCACAAATTATGCCAATATATATCGTCATTTTTTGAAGAATCAATATGAGATTGAACATAGATTTTGATTAAAAGAGATTTGTGATTTTTTAATTAATAACGATATAGAATCTAATATCACGTTTAAAGGATAGTACGAAAAGATTTATTTCGAATAATGAATTTATTCATTTTGCTCAGTTAAATGTAGAACGTTGAACGAAAGTGATAAAAGGATTCCTTTTGATAGATTCAGAAAAATTAAAAAAATTTCAAAAGTGGTTTCGTACTCTGATTGGATTGATTGATGGATTCAAATGTGTATCTATTGAAATAAACAATGCAGTAGTAACAAATCATTAACAATAATAAATATTTTAAGTTTGCGCGCTGATAATGATAATGATGACAAATATCATGATATCGATGATGGCGATGATGGCGATGATGGCGATGATGGCGATGATGATGTGATGGTAGTGATTATTAAAAGAGATGAAGGATCATGGAAATTAAATGAGAATTAAAAAAAAAGGAATATGTTCATAGTACAATGAAGCCATCGCAAAAAGTAGAATGAAACCGTATAGACTATGGAGTGAAATCGAAGGTGTTTATATATATTATTAATTACATTATCATCATCATACATATATTATTATTATTAAATATTTTTATTATTGTAAATATCGACTAAACAATTGATTAGTCTATAAATCATTCAGATACATTACCATTATTGTATTATCATCATTATTGTTATCGTTACCATTTTCCTTTATATTATTATTTTAAAAGGATGGGATTATGAAGACATTATGAGAGCATACGAACGAATATTAAGTACATTATTAAATGAAATGAACGGCATACAATAATTAAAGGATGTTTATGTACTAATCGACCTAATAGAATTGACGATGCCATTTGCGACCTGGTAAATCTTTATTATTATTATTATATTTACTCATTCATTACTATTTATGTTTATTATTTACTAATTATTTGTTAATCATTTATACCTTTATAATAATAATATGTAGGATATCCAACTAAATCCAACTAGCAAAATCAAATTGATATTTGTAAAGTTATATCACAAAGAAACGCTTTGATCAAGATGAAATCGATTTCGGTAAATTGACCGATGAATTTGATGAATTTACTCACACCAACAATAATAGTAACGGATCTAATGGTGAAATTTTGTTTAGTGTTTTTATTTTTATTTTTATTTATTATTAATTAATTATTTTATTTTTTATTATTATTTATTTATCTATTTTATAGAGAATCTGCACTCACTGCGTGGAGGTCTAACCAAATTAACAAAGAAATTGGAATTATGTGCTTTGCACATATGCACGTTGATGGTATGGGCGTCGAAAAAGATTTGAAAAAAAGTTTCTAAAGTTGCAGATGAAGGGTCTAGTATAGCTTTAAATCGTTCGTGATTGTTATGATTATGGTTCTGGTGTTGAAAAAATGAAGGAATTACCGTAGCACAATATAATGTTGGTGAGTGCTATAAGGATGGATTAAGAATAGCAGAAGAAGTTCAAGGGCTCCAATTGCATTTAAAAAGCGTTCTTACTGGAAATATTCTGCAATAAACAATACTAGGTAATGTTATTATTACAATGGTATAGGTATGTGTATAGATAAAAAAGAAGCATTTAAATGGTATTTTAATGATGTTGTTGAATAAAGATATCCATGATTATGGAATTAATCCATATCTTGTGAAACATTTGATTGGTATAAAAAATCTGCTTAAATGAATATGCTATGCTGATGACCAATATATAGTTGGAAGATACTTTTATGAAGGACATGGATGGAACTGTTAAAAGATATTGTAAAAGCTATCTACTGGTTAAATAAGTAAAGGAAAACGGGAATATAATTGATTGAATAATCTTTTTTTTTAATATTATAATGCTATGGCGTTATGCGATATATTATCGATTTAATTATATTAATAAAATATCTTTCTTGAAAATTAATTCTAATAATTCAAATTACTTGAAATTCTTATAAAAGTATATAAGTATATGATAGAAAATTCTAATAATTTATTAAAATTTCAGTTTAGATCAATGCAGGAACATCGATAAGACTTTACTTATCTCCTTTGTGAAAAAAATCGTTTTAAGGATTTTAGATAATTATTATTAAAAACTATTAAATGAAAAGATAAACCTCCTAATAAAAATCTAATTGTTGAAGATAAAGTATTCTATAGAATGTAATAGTTATTTCACGGTGAGCTGTGACTAATTTACATACAATTATATTTTTGGATTAGGAGAAAAAGTTGATTTATAGCATTTAAATTTCCAACAGATGATAAGATTTTCAGAGTCAAAAGATAAATTCAAATGCTCCAGAAATCTTGTTATCGTGCTTTTTCAGATGACGCTATGCGTGGTGGAAAGTATGATAGCCTTAGAGTTGGTGGACATATTTATCTAAAAATAAACTACAAATGGTGCACAATACTATCTCTATACCTGCTGTAACTACAGGGCCTTGTTCATCATACTTTATTTTACTAAATAATAAACTTTTTCTGAATCTTCTTTTTATTTGTAATCAAGCAGTTGGTCTGAAATTAGTTTTTTTGGTATAAATCAAAGCATTTTGGAAGGAAAAAAAAAAGCAAATTTATGCAAAATATTGGAAAACGAGATGCTTAATGTTTGCAACTTACTTAAAAATATAAACTCAACTTTAAACACTTTAGTTAGTATTAGTATTATAGTATGGCTGGAATATCTAATAATGATGATAATGATAAAATAGAATCTCGTGCTCTTATATAATAAATGCATAAAAATATTTAAATTTTTAATTAAATTATCGATATACTTGTGTAAGTATTACACTCGTGATCGGTTTCGTAAATTAAAAACGAGTTGATCAACAAAATCAATTACTTGTGCGTCGTCGCAATAAAGTTGTTTCATTTATTTTTATTTATTTTCTCAATATATATTATTCAAATGTCTCAAAGAAAGACAAATAATATTATTACTAATAGTCATAATTCTAAAGATAAAAGAACAGAATATGAATATTATGAGGATATTCCATTTTATCATTATTCAAAATTTGAAAATGTAAAATTAATTAATAAAAATGTTTTTAAAGCTCATATTAAAAAAATAGTTTCTCAGCAAGAACAAACCGTAGTTGGAGTAGTAGCTCTTAAATATATTTCTTTAAATAATTTGATAAAAGAAGTGAGTTTACTGTTAAAAATTATTTGTTATTTTTATTATCTTTTTTACTAGTTTTTTTTTTATTTAGGTTAAAAGACATCGAAAATTGGAAATTAATTATAGCATTCTTAAGTTTTATGGCATTACTAAGCAAGGTAAAATTAATCTAAAATAATTAACTTTTAATTTATCTATTAATTAATTTTTATTTATTAATTAATTATTATTTATTATTAATTAATTATTATTACAGAGAATACCAAGAATCATATGATTGTTCTCGAATATGCAAACAATGGTTCTCTTCGTCAATATTTGAAAACAAATTTCCGAAAATTAGATTGGAATATTAAATTAAATTTTGCAAACCAGATTGCAAATGCGTTAATGAATTTACATGATAATAATATTATTCATGGAAAATTGGTAATTAAACTAACTTGTGTGAATAAATTAATTTCTAGCTCAATTATTATTTTATGATTTAATTATTTTATGACAATTTAATATTTTTTTTAACATTCAAATTAGACTTCCGAAAGTATTCTTGTTCATAATGGGACTATTAAACTTAATGATTTTGGCATAAACTATTTAAAATCCCTTACTACTACCGTTACTATCCCTATCCAATATACTGATTTTAGATATTTAGAATTATTTAATAAAAGTTTGGATATTTATAGTTTAGGAATTATTCTTCGGGAAATTGCTGATGGTGGTATTTCTTCTTTTGAAAATGAATTAATAACAAAATCAACATTATCATCATCAAAAACAGCAAAAAATAATATTTTTGATTTTATAAATGATTATATTATAAAAGTGAAAAGAGAAAAGAATATACAAAATATACCTGGAATTCCTCCTAAATACAAGGAAATTTATACTGGTATGAATTTACATGTTATTTAAATTATTTATTGACAGTATTATTGATATTTAATGTAAATTGGATATACTTGAATAGATTGTTTGAAATACCATGGAAATTCCCGACCAAGAATCTTTGAAATCGTCAATGATCTTTCCGATCTCAATGTAAAAGATAAAAAAGAGATGTCATATGAAGAAGAAATTCATCCCTCCATTAATTCCATAACAATTAAAACTAATAATTATAATATCATATTTATTAAAAAATTATTCGAATTATTTATTAGTATTTCTAAAATTCAGTCTTACTCAACGAAACCAATTGCGTTCAAAAATTATATTAGAGAACATAATTTGAATCCGGTTAAAATTTTACATAAAATGATTAGATATCCATCTCATTATTGGTTCACTAGCCTCATAGGATTTTTTTACAAGCATGGTATTGGAACTGTTATTAATAACCAAATGGCATTTAAATTCTTTAATTTAGCAGCCAGTGAAAGAATTTATATGAAGAATATCTCCTCAAATATCTCACTAAGGAGATTTAACTCCATTAACAAAGAAATTGGAATTATACATCTTGCACATATGTACTTCTACGGTAGAGGAGTTGAAAAAGATTTGAAAAAAAGTTTTCAGATCTATTCTAAAGTCGCAGGTGAAGGGTCCAGCATTGCTTTAAATCGTGTGGCGTATTGTTATGATTTTGGTTTTGGTGTTGAAAAAAATGAAGAAAAGGCATTTGAATTATATTTGGAATCTGCAAAAAAAGGAAATATTATAGCACTATATAATGTTGGTGAGTGTTATATTGATGGAATAGGAATAGCAAAAGATGAAGTTAAAGGTCTCCAATTACATTTAAAATCTGTTCTTACCGGAAATCTTGCTGCAATAAACAATACTGGATATTGTTATGACAAAGGTCTAGGTACGAGAGTGAATAAAAAAGAAGCATTTCGATGGTATTTTAAAGGTGCTGAAGAAGGAGATTCCAGGGCACAGCATAATTTAGGACGGTTATACGGCAATGGTTATGGAATTAATCAAGATCTAGTGAAAGCATTTGAATGGTATAAAAAATCTGCTGAAAATGAATATGATGATGGTCAATATATGGTTGGAAGATACTTTTATGAAGGGCTTGGAACTGGTAAAGATATAATAAAAGCTATCTACTGGTTAAATAAAGCAAATGAAAACGGGAATGTATATGCCAATAGTTTATTGAGAGAAGTAATTGGCCGAATAATATTTTTTTAGCTTATTTTAATATTATAGGTTATACTGTAAAAGCAATCGATTATTAAATATCTTTCTTGACTATAAATTTTAAAAATTAAATCACACGAAATATATAAAAAAAAACTATTAGTTTCCATAATTTAAATTTTGTCTAGATTTTTTGAAAATAAATATAAGAAGTACTTTATTATAATTTTAGATAGGTTGATACAGGAACATATATAGAACTTTAATTACTTTAATCTCCTTTAAGATAAATCATTCTATAGATTTTAATAATTATAAACATGAAGGAGAACGCATCTCCTAATTAAAATCCAATTGTTTATCATGATATTTGTATCACTGTGGCTTTTATCTCAGATTCCTATGATAATATTAAGCTATTACATAAATTACCAACAAATTCATTGGATTTTCAGCATCAAAAAATGATCCAGAAAATCTTTTATATCAGTTTTTTCAGATTATGCTATGTGGTGAGCTTATAGTTGATCAATCTAAAAACTGATGTCTTTTATTTATTGATGTTTATCCAAAAACAATCAAGGAGAACTACAAAATGGAGAAACAAATAATTTCTCTATGCCTTCTGCTACTACAGGATCTTATTCAGAAATGTTTCGTTATTTGCTTGGAACCTTGTTCTGAATCTTTTTTTTTTTATTTAAACAAGACCAACCTTGATTTAACGAAACTAATCAAGGAAATTCTATGGGACGTAATAATTCTAGAACCCTTTTAAGCTTTGCTTAACCGCACTACCTTGTCCGAAACTAGATTAAACTAGATTAATTAAAGCATGTTTGGGCGAACAAAATGAGTAAATTTATCAGAATACTAAAAAACGAACGAATATAGCACCCATTAATTTATCTCTGGGCGAAACAACATATTAAATAAACAAAAATTGATATTCTGATCAGCTCAAAGTTTGCAACTTGCAGGTACAGGGAATTCGCTTTTATAATAATTAATGAAAAACAAAAACTCAAAACGTTTATTTAACATTGTAGTATGGATGGAACATCTAATGATAATACTTTCTTAATTCGTGATTCACTAAAAACGGAAAGGAATATATAATGGATTATGGGGCAACTTTCCAATTATATAAAAATTAATTTTTAATCGTTTGAAAAAATGCATATCTCTTTTTTTGTCATTTGAAATGTAAATTTTTAAATCAGAACCATTGCTTTTTATGATGTTAACTTGGAAAGGGACTTTTACTTGCGATATTCTTATTCCGGAACTAGATTATGGTTCTTAAATGTAGATCTTTTTCGTTTATCGCGAATCACGAATTAAGTTAAATTAATATTAATAATAATAAAAATATTATTGATTGAATTGTCTATACATTAATTATTCTAAATATTAAAAGGTCTTGTATTAAACTAGTTACTTTGTTGATTTAGTGTTCCGAATACTTATTCTGATCGGATTTTTATTTATGTACAATATATCCGATATTTTAATTCTTCAATCTGAATCCTTTATTTTTTGGACTCGATTCTATTGATTAGTAGTAATAATAATAATATTATTTTTCTTTTTAAATATATCGAGAAAACAAATAAAAATGATGAATTACGCCCCAAATTTATTTCGCTACGTGCAATGGTTTTTCAATTTTTATTTTTCGATCTAATTTATCATGATATATGTAATTTAACAAATTATTTAATTAATAATCAATAGTTATTAATTAATTTACAACTTATTCTCATTTATGTGTTAATCTAAATAAAATAAATGATAAAATTCTAAATTAATTAATAATATAATATATCAATTTCAAACAACTCCCTCGTATTTGTTATTTTGTTATTTTTATTATTTATTATTTTATTATTTTTTTCATTTCATAATTTTATTATTTTAATTATTTTATTATTTTATTATTTTATTATTTTACAAATAATTCTTATTTATTATTTGAAATCCATCTATTTTCATTTCTTTTATCAATTATAAGATCTTTTTTTCATTATATCTTTTAGAATAATATCCTTTTTATCACAATATCCAAAAAGCATAGAATCTTTTAAAAAAATGACACATAAATTATAAGATAAGATTATAAGACATTTTTGATTATTCAAAATTTATAAAAAAAATATTTTTACAACATCTTTTAAAAAACTATGTAAGTTAAAAGAAATTATAAATTATCTATTAATAAAACAGACTGCTGCTTACCAAAAAATGTTACGATTATAAACAAATTATAAACAAATGGATATTTTTTTTATAATTAATTTCAGCGATCAATAAATTTAAAATTTAGTTGATAAATAAACAAAAAAATTTAATGACAAACTGCCTGAATATTTGCTTGAGTATTTCCTTTATTCTAAATTAGAGTCATTTGTTTCTAATTCTTCGCTGATTTCATTAATATTAACTGAATTAGAATCTATAAATTAATTTAAAAATTATTAATTTATTATCAGTTTCAGAGTTTAATTAAAAATCAATATTTTACCTGCCCATTCTATAACTAAATCATCTTCTCTAGAATCTCTTGAAAGTAATTTTGCAGTATTGATATGATCACTTAATGGTCTTGTACTTACATCATATGCTCCAGGAAGGTTTGTTGATATTTCATCATTTATATTACTTTTCATTTCCTTATCAGCCTTTTTGAAGATCTTATAGATTTCCGAATCCTCATCATAAATATCCCATTTGCCAATAATATCATATATTTCTTCACTCGTCGGTCTTTTAGAGGTATCACCTTGCCAACATGATTTCATTAAATGTACATAAATATCTGGTGTATCCTTCACAATCTCTGGAAAAGTACCTTTACAAATATTTATAATTAAATTGCATCATGTGAACGATAACTAAATGGTGCTTTTCTAGATGTTAATTCCCACATAATCATTCCAAGACTATAAATATCTGATGCAGGAGTAAACGGTTTTCTACGTAATATTTCAGGTGCCAGATATGGAATTATTCCATAAATTTCATTTGATTTTACTTCATAATTGGCTGGTTTACATAACCCAAGATCACCTAGATATGTGATATAGTTACCTGGAAAAGGCAAAGCATTTCCAAGATCACTTAACAAAACATTTCCAGGATGAATATCAGAATGAATCTATCCATTTTCATGAATATTCTTAAGTGCTATAGTTATATTTTGCAACATCGTTAATCTATCATACCAATTTAATGGTTTATCGTTTCGTCTTATGATGTGTTTCAAATCTCCTTTATCACAATATTGCATAATTATGGCATATTCTTTTGTAATTGGATCTTGAGTTATACCATATATAGGTATTATAAAAGATTCATTATTTTTATGATATGCTTTGATCAGAATTAATATGTAAAAAAATAGTTTATCAAAATATCAAAAATAATATTTACCTCGTTAGTAAAATCCTTAGTGACATTTTGTGAACTTTTTAACTTCTTCATTACTATTATCATTGATGTATCTTGTGAATGATATTCTTTATATATGGTACCATATCCACCCTTAGATAGATACCGAATATTATCTAATTTGGTATAATCAATCCATCTCCAACGTTTATAATCATAACATTTTGGATTTCTTGCATTAACTGATCAATTTCATCACTTCCACTTGTCCATGATAAAAATGTAGGTAATATTTCTAATGGTTTGCAGTTTGGACGCCGTTTATATGCAATGTTTTGTTCTCCACAGTCATAACATCTTCCATAATCCTATTCATCACAACAATTACAATATTTCAGTAATTTTTTTTCCAGCAATTACCACAATATTCGAATTCTTCCGAATAGTTTTCCATATTAAGAATGAAATTAACTTGATATACAATTATTTAGAAAAAAAAAAGATTATTTATAACATACAATAAAGATTATAAGTATTGCATTTTTTGGAAATTGATAAAGTTTAGGAAGGGAAGTGTGAAAAATTAACTAAATCTAATAATTCAAAAATAAGAATATTTGTTTTAACGGTAGAAAGTATATTAAAAAGGATCGGACAAAATCTAAGCCAACTTGCATAATCGATAAACCCATTTGCATAACAACTATGAATAAAAGATCATTGTTTCACAATTCTAATAAATTGTTTCACATTAATTTAATAAATTTCAATTTTTTTTTTAGACCTACTGCGTCACAATTTAGTTTAGAAAATAACCTTTTAAATAACAAAAAGTGAGAGAGAGAAAGAGAAATGAAGATTGAGAGAAAAGGATACGAGAGAAAGAGAGCAAAAGGCAAGATAAAAGAGAATACCAGCCTTCATAGGCAATAAATTTCCCCTTTAGTTATACTTGTCCAATTTCATAGTCTTCTATATTAGTTTCTATTTTTTCATTTATGTGTCATCTCTCTTATAATAAATTCGTTTGTATTTCATTCATCACATGATGTACATAGCATCTGTATGTAATTTTGCCAGCATTCTATAAATGATATAAAAAAATAATAAATAATATAAAGAAACAATGAGAAATTAATGGAAAAGTAAAAGATATTGATTGTTGGATTATTATTTAATTATTAATATTTGAAATTATTTTATTTTTTAATTAAGTTAAAAAAAAAAAAGTATTAATCCTTTTTACAAATTAGGCAGATCGAAAGTGGTGGGGTTGGGATACGCATAAGAAAAAGATTGAAAATCGAGGAGTAATTATACTTTTGTTAAAAATATCAATAATAATTAAAGTTTATGGCTGTTTTTAGTTATCTTCATACTTCGTTTAAAATCGAAAAAAAGAAATATGAAAATCATTTTTTTAAAAAAAAATCTTTATTTTTTCCAAGAACACACGAAAAGATTTAAAAGATTTAAATCGAGGAGTAATTATTATTTTGCTATAAATGTTCATATTTAATTTATAAACATGAAAAAAAAAAATTGGTTTGCTTTCTACGTATTTTTATTTTTATAAATAGTAAGACAAATATCCAAAAATTATATAAATTCCAACTATTCTCTGGGGTTATTCTTCTAAATGGTATCGAGTACGGTGTGTTCACTTTTTTTCCATTTCAATCACGAAAATCTTCCCAAAAAAGAATATTGTTTTGAAATCTTTTTCTTACACTTTTAGTTTACCAATTAATCTCGTGCCGTGACTTCACCGAAAAAGAAATAATATTGGGCTAGAATTTATACTAAGGTAATGTATTACGAACTACGCCGCATTTAAACCCAGTAATTTATTTCATTGATCGCTCTCATCTTTTTTTTTTCAGATAAACAATTATTATTTATTAAAAGAAAGAAAATGGATAAAAAAATCAACGATCTTTACGAAATTATTAGTAATTTTTCTTTAATGTAATTTAATAATATTATTGAATGTTAAATGAAAAGAATAATTTAAAAAAATTTATCTATTTATTTAATGTAAAAAGATAATTCATTAAATAATTCGAAAATTCATAAAGAAATAATGATCGATTTACCTGAAATAAGAACAATATTGATTAATGGACCTCGAGGAGTTGGAAAGAAAACTTTAGTAAAGTATATATTATTATATAATTATTGATTTTTTTATTATTATATTAATATTTATTAATAATATTTTTTATTATTTAAATATTAATTTTAATATTAGAGAAGTGAATAAAAAAATTTCGGCAAATTTATTCTCTTTATCATTATCCTCTATTATTATCCAACATGATTATTTAGAGAATATTGGATTATTTAAAGAGAATGGAGAAGATAATAATAGCAATAGTAGTGATATTAACGATAATGATATTAATGAAAATGATGATGATGTTAATAGTAATAATCCAATAAGATCAATTTTTAAAAAAGCAATAAAATCAGCACCTTCAATTATTCTTTTGAAAGATTTAGATGTTTTAACAAAAGAAAATTATGGTAATTTATATTTATTCGATTTAAATTTACGAATATTGATTATTTAATAAATTTCTTATTTATTTATTAACTTATTGTTCGTATATTTATATATAAATCAAGATCAAAGCTTGGATAATTTTGAATGGAGATCTAAATTTATAAATATCTTGAAAAATGAATTGCAAAATATTAATAATATTGAAAAGGTAAATAATATAATATAAAATAATTTTATCTTATCTGCTATATTATTTTGTTTAATTTTTTTAATAATATTTAATAGATTTTTATAATTGGATTAACGTGTGATGCAACCAAACTACCAGAATCAATTCGTAAAATAGATTTTTTCCAACATCAGATGAATTTAGATGTTCCCACTCGGTAATAAAAAAATAATACTTTAAATCGATTCAAATAAATGCTTAAATTCAATTCTAATTATTAAATCCAAATAATTAATCTAGTGTGGGACGGGAAGAAATTTTGCGACATTATTTTTTAAATTTAAATGTTTTGAGTCTAAATATTATAGAAGAATTTACGATGAAATTAGGATTGGTAATTTCATAATTTATTGTCTTTATTATAAAAGATTTACACACTTACATTTCACACACACAAATTAATACAATTAGATGACATCTGGATATGTGGCAAGAGATTTAAAAAGACTTGTTAGATTAGCAATTTTACATTCATTGAGAGAACCAATGCAATTAGTTGATAATAGTTACAAAATCATTAATGATGATGAAAAAGATTTTGAAGATTTATTTAAAAAATTAAGTTTACATGATAGTTCACTTGCGGATAATGATAATAATAATGATGATTATGGTAATCATAATACAGACGATGGCAATAATCATGGTAATGATGATGAAGGATGGAAGATTAATGAGAAATTGAAAAAATGCAAATTAAAATGGAGTGATTTTGAATATGCTCATAGTACAATGAAGCCATCACAAAAAATAGAATTTGAAACTATGATACCTTATAGATTATGGAGTGAAATCGGAGGGTAATTATATCTATTATTAATTACACATTATATGCAATCAATTATATATCTTTATCATTATGTATTTTTGTTATTTTAATTTTTATTATTTTTATATTATATATTTTTATTATTTTATTATTTTATTATTTTAGATATAAAAATATAAAACTTCGACTAAAACAAATAATTGAATGGCCTATAAATCATTCAGATACATTTGATAGATTAGGAATTAAACCTACTTCCGGATTATTACTTTATGGTCCATCTGGTTAGTATCATATTTAATTATCATGAGTCTAATTAATAGAATGGATTGATTATTATTGATTAAATTAAATTAAAAATTATCAATTAAATCAATAAAATCAATAAAAATATAGGATGTGGAAAAACTATATTAGTTCAAGCATTAGTGTGTGAATCTAGAATGAATACTATTTATGTTAAAGGACCATCAATATATTCAAAATATTTTGGAGAAACAGAAAATGTAATAAGAAATTTATTTAAGACTGCTAGGAAAATTTCACCTTGTATTATATTTTTTGATGAAATGGATTCTATTGCTGCAAAACGAGGTGAGTAAATTAAACTTTTTTAGGCTTATTGTATTACCATTATTATCATTATTGTTAATTATTCTTATATTATTATTATTACATTTTTATCATTATTATGAAAGGATGGGATTACGAAGACAGTACAGGAGTAAATGAACGAGTATTAAGTACATTATTAAATGAAATGGATGGTATACAAGAATTAAAGGATGTTTTAGTGATTGGATGTACTAATCGACCTGATAGAATTGATGATGCCATTTTGCGACCTGGTAAATTCATCATCATTATATTTTTACTTATTGATTACTATTTATTATTTATTAATTATTTATCCCTATAATTATAATAATAAAAGGTAGAATAGATCAATTATTATATGTAGGATATCCGACTAAGCAAGATCAAATTGATATTTGTAAAGTTATATCACAAAGAATGGCAATTAATCAAGATGAAATCGATTTTGATAAATTGACCGATGAATTTGAAGAATTTACTCACACCAAAAATGATGATGATAATAATGATAATAATAGCAAAGAATTTAGTGGGGCTGATTTTGAAATTTTGTTTAGGTGTGTATATTTTTTTTTATTTTATTTTTATTTAATATTTTGTATTTTATATTAATTAATTATTTTTATTTTTTATTTATTTATTTATTTTATAGAGAATCTGCGCTCACTGCATTAAGAGAAAACATTGAAATTACTCAGATTTCTATGCGTCATATTCAAGCTGTTCTTGATAAAATGCGAAAAACCAAATTCTAATAATGTTAATTTTGACTTGCATATATATACAATAAAATATTAAATCTAAATTATAATGGAATAAAATTATTATTCCATGAATTTTTTAGAATATTTGTATAAATATTTGAAATGCACAGCAGATAACGTGTAAATCTTCGCAAAGTAATTGACAAAATATTAAAATTCTCTTTACTTATATTTTTATATGAATTTTAAACAATTTCAATTAAGAAAGAATAATTGACAAATATTTTATTAATATAAATAAATCGTTAGCTTATAAGTATAATCTTGTAATTTTATAATAACCTAAAAAAGATAATTCGATCAATAATTACTTTTAATAATCTATTTGCAGATCTATTTCCGTTTTCCTTTGCTTTGTTTAACCAGTATATAGCTTTCGCAATATCTTTACCAGTTCCATTTGCTTCATGAAAGTATTTTCAACCATATAAAGACCATCAGCATATTCACTTTCGGCAGATTTTTTATGCCATTCAAATTCTTTTATTTGATCCTCATCAATTCCTTCGCCATTTAAATAACAATATCCTAAATTATATTGCGTCATAGATTTCCTTCTTCACACCTTTAAATACTTTTAAATCCTTTTTTATCTACTTCCACACCTACGCCATTGTTATAATCATACCCGGCATCATTTATTGCATCTAAATTTCCAGCAAGAGAAGATTTTAAACACAATCGGCACTCTTTAACTTCACCTCTTGTTATTTCTGTTGCATTCTTATAACACTGACTAACTCTGTATTGTCCAATACTGTTTCCTTTTCAGCGGATTTCAAATATAATTAAATGCTTTTTCTCCAAATTTTCCAACATCAACACCATTATCATAACGTATGCCACACAGTTTATAGCTATAGTGGACCCTTCATTTTCAATTTTAGAATAGATCTGAAAGCCTTTTTCAAATCTTTTTCGACGCTATGTACATATGTGCAAGATGGATAATTCCAAATTTCTTTGTTAATGAGGTTTAATTTCCTTAGTAAGAGATTTGAGGAGATGTCCTTCATATGAGTTCTTTCACTGGCTGTTAAATTAAAGAATTTAAATGCCATTTGGTTATCTAATACCATATTGGTAAAAAGCCTATGAGATTAGTGAACCAATAATAAGATGAATATCTGATTATTTTGTGTGAAATTGAAACCTTTTTCAAATTATGTTCTCTAACATAATTTTGATAATAATTGGTCGCATTTCTTAGACTGAATTTTAAACATATCAATAAATAATTCAAATAATTTTTTGAAAAATATGATATTATAATTATTAGTTCTAGTTGTTTATGAGTTCTAGTTGTTATGGAAAGAATTTCTTCTCCGTTTGACTTTTCTCATTCATTTTTTGCATTGAGATCGGAAAGATCATTAAAATTACAAAGATTCTTGTTCAATTTTATCCAATTTAAATTAATTGTCAATAAAGCTGTCAATAAATAATTTAAGTAACATGTAATCAATGACAATATAAATTTCCTTATATTTAGGAGGAATTCCAGGTATACTCTTTTCTCTTTTTAGGTTTAAAATAGTACTACTTATCAAATTAATAATATTATTATTTGTTGGAGATGATAAAGTTGATTTTGTTATTAATTCACTTCGTAAGGAGAAATACCATCATTAGAAATTTTCCAAAGTATAATTCCTAAACTGGAAAAATCTAAAATTTTATTAAAATATTCTAAAATATCTAAAATTTGTATATTGAATAGGATTAGTAAAGGTAGTAGTAAGAGATCTTAAATAGTTTGTGTCAAAATCGTTTAATTTAATGGCCCTATTATGAACAAGAATCCTTTCAGAAGTCTAATTTGAACGTCACGTCAAAAAAATGTTAAATTATTATAAAAACTTTATCATAAATAATTAAAGTTAATTAGACAAATGATTACCAATTTTTCATGATTAATATTATTATCATGTAAATTCATTACAGCCTTTGCAATTTGTTTTTCCAAATTTAATTTTATATTCTAATCGAATTTTGGAAAATTATTTTCAAATGTTGACAAAGAGAACCATTATTAGCATATTCGAGAACAATCATATAATTATTAGTATTCTCTGCATTGCTTTTCTAATATGAGCTTTAACATTTTCATTAATTAATTTTACATTTTCAAATTTTGAATAATGATAAAATGGAATATCTTCATTACATTCTGTACTAGCTTTAGAATTATTATTAATAGCAGTAATTATTATTATCTGGTTTTCTTTTCTCTCTCTCTCTCTCTTTCTCTCTCTCTTTTTAGTTGAGAAATTCAAAATATTGGAATTATATATTGAGAAAATGAATGAAACGATCTTTATTTATAATGTATTACGACAACTACGTGCATATTAACATATAAGTAATTGTTTTCGCTGATCTTTCGTTTTTATACTTACACAAAATATTCACGTCATGAGTGTAATACTTAATATATTAATACAAGTACTTATTTGTCCTTTTAATATTTATAATAAAGATACTTCTTTCTTTTATTTTTATTATTAATGCTGTTAAATTTAACTCAAAGAAAAATGCCAGAAATCTCATAGAAGTTTCTTTCATACTTTAATATTAACTAAAGAGTTAAACGTTTTGAGTTTTTGGTTTCATTAATTTTTTTATATGCATGAATTCCCTGTACACTTTTGTAACTAGTAAGTTGCAAACATTGAGAGGTTGATTTTCTAGTGACTTATATACTTTATATGAATTTCAAGTAATCTCAATTTTACAATTTATCGTCAATAAAAATATTTAATATTTTGTTGTTAATAAAAATAAATCATAATTTACACAGCAGAATCAGATAATTTTATAATAACTTAAAAAAAATTAATTTGATCAATTATTTCTTCTAATAAGCTATTGGCATTTTTATTCCCGTTTTTCTTTGCTTTATTCGACCAGTATATGGCTTTTATAATATCTTTACCAGTTCCGCGTCCTTCATAAAAATATTTTCCAACCATATACTGGCTATCAGCATATTCATTTTCAGCAGCTTTTCCATACCATTCAAATGCTTTTATGTGATCCTCGCCAATTCCTTCACCATTTTCATAACAACACCCTAAATTATGTTGTACCCAAGGATCACCTTTTTCAGCACCTTTAAAATACCATTTAAATGCTTCTTTTTTATCTACATCCACACCTATACCTTTGTCATAATAATACCCGGTATTATTTATTGTATCTAAATTTCCAGTAAGAGCCGATTTTAAACACAGTTGGAATCCTTTAATTGCATCCTTTGCTATTCCTGTTCCTTCAATATAACAATAACTAACACCGGATTGTCCAACAATATTTCCTTTTTCAGCGGATTTCAAATATAACTCAAATGCTTTTTCCTCATTCTTTTCAACGCCAAATCCATTTAAGTAACAGTATGCAGCATTATTTAAAGCTATACTAGATCCTTTATTTGCAGCTTTAGAATAGATCTGAAAGCCTTTTTTCAAATCTTTTTCGACGCCTATACCATCAAAGTACATATGTGCGAGATGGATAATTCCAATTTCTTTGTTAATATTGTTAAATTCCCTTAATGAGAGATTCGAGGAGATATTCTTCTTATAGATTCTTTCATTGGCTGCTAAATTAAAGAATTTAAATGCCATTTGGTTATCAATAACAGTTCCAATACCATATTGGTAAAAAAAGCCTATGAGGCTAGTGAACCAATTATGAGATGGATATTTAATCATTTTATGCAAAATTTTAACCGGATTCAAATTATGTTCTCTAACATAATTTTTGATCATAATTGGTCGTAATTCTAAAGACTGTACTTTAAAAATATTAATAAATAATTTAAATAATCTTTTAATAAATATGATATTATAATTATTAGTTCTAGTTGTTATGGAAGGAATTTCTTCTTCGTTTGATATTTCTAATTTATTTTTTGCACTGAGATCAGGAATAACATTGATTTCAGAAAGATTCTCAACAACTTCAAAGATGTCTGGTCGAGAATTTCCATGGTGCTTCAAACAATCTATTCAAATGTGTCCAATTTAAATTAATAATACTGTTAATAAATAATTAAAATATAATTTAAATTCGTACCAGTATAAATTTCCTTATATTTAGTGGGAATTCTAAGTATACTCTTTTCACTTTTTATTTTTATAATATTATCATTTATCAAATCAATAATATTCTTATTTGTTGATGTTGGAGATGGTAATGATGATTTTGTTGTCAATTCTTTTTCGAAAGGAGAAATTCCATCATTAGAAATTTCCCAAAGTATAATTCCTAAACTGTAAATATCAATACTTTTATTGAATAATTCTAGGTGTCTAAAATCAGTATATTGAATAGGGGTAGTAATAGTAGTAAGAGATTTTAAATAATTTATGCCAAAATAATTTAGTTTAATAGTCCCATTATGAACAAGAATATTTTCAGAAGTCTAAAAAAATATTATAAAATAATTAAATCATAAAAAATATTTAATTAAACTAAAAACTAATTTAAAAGTTAAAATTAACAAATAATTACCAATTTTCCATGAATAATATTATTATCATGTAATTTCATTAAAGCATTTGCTATTTGTTTTGCCAAATTTAATTTCATATTCCATTCTAATTCTTGGTGATTTGCTTTCAAATATTGGCGAAGAGAACCATTATTAGCATATTCGAGAACGATCATATAATTGTTGGTATTCTCTGTAATAATGAAATGATTAATAAAAAAATTATAAATAAATTATAAAGTACATGTATAAGAGTTAATTATTTTACCTTGTTTAGTAATGCCATAAAACTTAAGAATATTGTCATTGATTTCCAATTCTCGATGTCTTTTAGCCTAAATAAATAAATAGCAAAAAAAAATTACTAATAATAACAAATAATTTATTTTGTAGTATTTAACAGCAAACTCACTTCATTTATAAAATTATTCAAAGTAAATCTTTTATTTAAAGAAATACATTTAAGAGTCACAACTTCAGCTACGGTATTTTCTTGTTGTATAAATATTTTTTTAATATAAGCTTTATAAACATTTTTAACATTTTTATTAATTAATTTTACATTTTCAAATTTCGAATAATGATAAAATCGAATATCCTCATCATATTCTGTTTTACTATCTTTATTAATAGTATCATTATTATTGTTTGTTTTTCTTTGAGACATTTGAATCATCTATATTGGAAATAAATGAAATAAATAAATAAAAATAAATAAAACGAAATGAATGGACTTTTATTATGACAACTACGCCGCATATTAACATAAAAAAGTAATTGATTTCGCTGATCACTTTTTTTAATTTACACAACCGACGTTCTACACCACAAGTGTAATGCTTACACAAAGGAAAGAAAATGAATACAAGTACTTATTAATCCTTTTAATATTCAAATAATATATGGATAATTCAATTAAAAATTTTATATTATTAATATTAATTTTAACTTAGAAAAGTGCAGGATTCAAATTATGCTCTCGAATATTTTTTGATCATAATTGGTTGCATTTATTAGGAATGAGTTTTAAAAATATAAATGTGATACTATCATATTGTTATGAAATTAATGAAAGGAATCAGGGCTTTTGATCGGTCTTAAGAATATCTAAATAAAAAATCCATTCCTATCCCAAAAATCGAGATCGAAGTCATAAAAATTGTGCGTAAGTTGTGTATTAATTCATGATGATTGTGTCTGGTCGGAAATTAACATGCTGTTTCGAACAATCTATTCAAATACATCCAGTTTACATTAACTGTTGATAATTTACTATGCAAATAATTTAAACAATTTAAATAATATGTAAATTTATACTGGTATAAATTTCCTTGTATTTAGGAGGGATTCCAGGTATACTCTTTCTCTTTTTAGTTTTACAATAGTATCATTTATCAGATCAATAATATTATTGTTGACGATGATAAAGATGATTTTGTTATTGATTTCTTTGCAAACGGAAAAATTATTTTCCTAAAAGAATAATTCCTAAACTATTATATCGATTCTTTTATTAATCAATTCTAAATATCTAAAGTCAATACGTTGAATAGGATAGTAACAATAGTAGTAATTGATTTTACCAAAATCAATTATTTAATAGTCCCATTATGAACAAGAATACTTTCTTTAGTCTAATTTAAACGTTAAAAAAATATTAAATTATTATATAAAAATTTTAATAATATTAAACTAGAATTAATTTATTCATAAAGTTAAAACAAACGATTTATAATTTAGGAAATTTATTTTCAAATATTGACATTATTAGCATATTCGAGAACAATCATTGATATTCTCTGCATGTGCATTAATAAATAAATTATGAAGTACTGGATTATACGTTATTTTTTTTTACTAATGCCACAAAATTTAAGAATTTTATCATTAATTTCCAATTTTCGATATCTTTTGACCTAAATAAATAAATAGTAGAAAGATAATTTATTAGCATTTTATTTAAGTAAACTCATTTCTTTTATAAAATTATTCAAAGTAAATTTTTTATTTCGAGAAATACATTTAAGAGACAGGTTTTTCTTGTTGAGAAACTATTTTTTTTTAGTATGAGCTTTGAAAATTTTTAACATTTTTATTAATTAATTTTGCATTTTCAAATTTCGAATAATGATAAAACTGAACATCATAATATTCTGTTCTGCTAGCTTTAGGATTATTATTAATGGTTAATTAAAGTGTTGAAACTTGATAAGCTTTGGTTTTTCATTATAAGCACGAATACCCAGCAAACTTTTGTAACAGTAAGTTGTCGTTTTTCAGTATTCTGCATAAATTTATGTCTGCCTTAATTTATCCAATTTCGGACCAGGTTTGCCGTCATAGTCACTAATGGCTAAGCATAACTTAAAGGGGTGCTGGAATTATCACGTCCTATAGAATTTCCTTGGTAAGTTTTATAAAATCAAGCGTGACCTAGCCTAGATTCAGAAGAAGGTGATTGTTAGGCAATAAAGAAGTATGACTGAATAAGGTCCTGTAGTAACAGCAAGTATAGAGATAGTATTTGATTTTCATCATTTTATTGCTCACTTTGATTGTTTTTAAATAAACACCAATAAAATAAAAGGCCTCCGTGTCCACCAGTTTTTAAATTGATCAGAATCTGAAAAAAACCGATAAGAAAGATTTCCTGGATCATTTTTCGATGCTAAAAATCTAATGAATTTGTTGGCAATTTATGTAATAGTTTATTTCCTTGACAAAATTGAAAATGAAATATAAATCAATTATTTCACGGTGAACCAAATATCATGATCATATTAGATTTAAGCTTCAAAAATTAGATTTTTATTAGAGAGGTGATCTCCTTTCATATTTATGATTATTAATTATTAAAAATCAATAGAAAACTTTTGTTATAAAGGAAATTAAAGTGATTAAAGTTCTATAAATGTTCCTGAATCGGCCTAATCTAAAGTTATGACAAAAAATTTCACATTAAGATTTTATTTTAGTGATTTAATTTTTAAAGTTTACAAATAAATCGAAAGTGTATAATATTATAATAGCCTAAAAAAAGTTTATTCGATCAATTATTACTTCTAAAAATCTATTAGCATATACTTTAATTTCTTCAAATAATCTATTTGCATTTATATTCCCGTTTTTCTTTGCTTCATTCAATAGCAGATAGCTTTTATAATATCTTTACAAGTTCCACGTCCTTCATAAATGTATTCTCCATGCATATATTGGCCATAAACACATTCATTTTCAGCAGATTTTTCATACCATTTAAATGTTTCACTTGATCCTCGTTAATTCCTTCGCCAGTTTCATAACAATCTCCTGTACTATAGTGTGCTCAAGACATCCTTTTTTGGCACCTTCAAAATACCATTTAAAAGCTTCTTTTCTATCCACTCCAACACCTATACCTTTATCATAACCATACCCGATAATATTTACTGCATTAATATTTCCAGCAAGAGCAGATTTTAAACTGAATTGGAATCCCACTCCTTTTTTGGCGGATTTCAAATATAATTCAAATGCCTTTTCTTCATTTTTTTCGACACCAACCCATATAAAGCTATATTTGACCTTTCATTTGCAACTTTAGAATAAATCTGAAAACCTTTTTCTAAATCTTTACGCCTATACCATCAATGTACATTTGTGCAAGATGGATAATTCCAATTTCTTTATTAATATCATAAAATTTCCTTAGTGAAGGATTTGAGGAGATATTTTCATATAAAATCTTTCATTGGCAGCTAAATTAAAGAATTTAAATGCCATTTGGTTATCAATAACAGTACCAAAACCATACTGGTAAAAGAAACCTACGAGACTGGTGATAATGAGATGAATATCTAATTATATTGTGTAAAATTTTAACCGGATTCAAATTATGTTCACCAACATAATTCCAAAGATACGACCAATTATGTTTAAAAATTGGGTTTTAAAAATTTTAATAAAAATTGCAAATAATTTTTTAATAAATACGATATTATAATCATTAGTTTTAGTTGTCCCAGAATTAATGGATAGAATTTCTTCTGATTTATTTTTTGTATTGATATCAAAAATAATATTGATTTCAGAAAGATCGTTAACAACTTCAAATATGTCTGGTCGGGAATTTCCATGGTGTTTTAAACAATCCATTCAATGCATTGAATTTACGTTAACGCTAACAGTTAGTTAATAATTTACTATTTAAATAATTTAAATAATATATAAATTTGTACCTGTATAAATTTCCTTATATTTAGGAGGAATTCCTGGTATAGCCTTTTCTCTTTTTATTTTTATAATATTATCATTTATCAAATCAATGATATTCTTATTTGTTGATGTTGGAGATGATAATGATAATTTTGTCGTCAATTCCTTTTCGAAAGGAGAAATACAATCATTAGAAATTTCCCAAAGAATAATTCCTAGACTGTAAATATCTAAACTTTTATTAAATAATTCTAAATATCTAAAATCAGTATATTGAATATGGATTGTAATAGCAGTTGTAAGGGATTTTAAATAGTTTATGCTAAAATCATTTAGTTTAATAGTCCCATTATGAACAAGAATACTTTCAGAAGTATAATTTGAGCGTTAAAAAAGAATAAAATTATTTAAATCATAAATAATTAAACCAGAAATTGATTTAGAAAATTGCTAAAGCTCACTGGTGGCAATACTCATATTGTATGACCAAATAATTAAATATTTTTTTAGAGTTTTGGATTAGCTTCGCTTGTTAATCCATTGGTAGGATCAGTTTTTACAGATCATGTGTTTTGAAGGTCAGTAAAGTTTGAAAAATTTGTTGATGAAATATTTGTAGATGGTGTTTTTGGATTAATCTTCCTCTTGGTGCTATCTCGATTCCACTTATTATCATCTTTCTAAAGTTTTTTAAAGCCAAAGGAACTTTCCTTGATTTTTTTAGAACTTTCTTAATCTTATTAACTATTATTTTTAATTTAAATAATTATAAAAAATTTTACTAATTATTAAAGAAGAATTAACTACAATTATTATTTTTTTTTAGCTCTGAATTAGGGAGGAAATAACTATTCTTGGACCAGTGTAACTGTTTTAAGTCTTTAGTGGTTGACGGTGTGTTATTTTTAGTATTTGCATTTTTAAAATATTCATTGTTGTTGAACCAATAACACCATGTGAGTATTTATTCTACATTTTCTAATTCTTTAATTTATCTATAATCGAAAAGTAAACGAAAATTAATTATTTATTTATTTAATTTAAGCACACATTTTTCGTGATCCAACAGTCAATAGTTGTCTTACAATTACATATTTCAAGGAACCGCATTTGATGTAAGTATCATTTATAGAAAACTTTATTCATAATTATTATTATTATTATTATTATTATTAAAACCTATTGTTATAATTTTAAAATCAAAAATCGATTTTTTATTCCAGTTATTTTCAAGTAATAAAAGGAGAATCAGGTAAAGAAAATTGAAATCAATGTTAATAATATGTTAACAATTGTGTGATAATAATAATATGATGTTAATAATGATATGTTAATAATATGTTAATAATATTATTATTATTTCAATTTAAAGCCTCTAAATCCGGTCTCGAATCAATTGCATATATTATAGGAACGTTTTTGCAATACTGTTCGTTGGATTTGCATTATCGATTACTGCAAAAATATCATATTCGAATGTATTGTATAACAGGTGGAGCAGAATTATGTACTACTCTCTTAGATAAAAATTCTAATCGTGGTGAACAAATTGGATGTACTTTAATATTTGATATTGATATGGGATTAATTATATCAAACAACTATATTATGTGTTCAAGACTTGTACCATATGATGGCGTTGCTGTTACATCAAGTCTTATAAATTTCTTTAGTTTATAATAATAATATTATTATTGTTATGATTATTATTATTTATTTATTTTTAAGAATTATTTAGTATAATTTTAATAATAATTTAATCTTGTCTTGTTTTCTTTTTTTTTAAAAAAAAAAAGTTGGTGCAATATTTGAAGTAGAAGTTTTAGGAACTATTTTATTAAATAAATTAAATAGTCATTTAGATAAATTAGTAGATTATTTGCCACCTGAAATAACAATTGATGCATTGAAGAAATTTGCATTCTCAGTACGCAAACTTTCACCGGATATACGGCAACCTGTAATTCAAGCATATGTAGATGCTCTTCAATCTGCTTATACTGCAATTATACCTGTGTTTCCTTGCCTCTTTCTTTATAGTCGAAAATAAATTTTCTCAGACTACTGCTTTATTTTTTTTTTTTTTTTGCTTTCATTACTAAAAATGAACATTTGTAAATATTAATAAATTAATTTCACGAAATTGGAATCTTAACTTAAAAAGGAAAATTAATTGACTATGCATCTTTAATTTCTGATGCTGATCTCTTTATTCACTTTATTATTATTGGTGCTCAAAATATCATAAATGCTATTATTTGAATAAAGGCGATGTTATTACAATGCACTAAATAACACTCAACATTATGGTAATATTAACAGTTGACATTATAATCATTGTTAACTTAATTTGTAGATTCAGAAAACATAATATTCTCATTGAGATTGTTGTTTACTCGATTAGTCAAAATATTAATTAATATTTTTGACATTGTTTCACAAGAAATTACTTTGATTTCCTAAAAAAAAAAATTGATTCTTAACTAATGTTATAATATGATTTTAAGGAAATACCAACAATTTTTCAAATAATATAAATACAATCTTTTCTCTTGTCCTGTTGTCCTTGTCCTGAAAATAATCAGAATTCCCTTGATAACATTATATCCATAATATATTCGTCTTTAATTTCATAATCATCATTCTCTCACATTCTTACTGTCATTCTCATTCTTTTAATATCATTCAACTCTTAGAATTAAAATTATTTAATAATCTCTATAGAAATGGAAGCATTTAAAGTCATTTTTCTTCTCTTTTTGATCGTTTCTTTGTTCAATGTCAATGATGCAGTCGATCAGCCGACGACGTCTAGTGTTTCTAGGCCTAGACCGCGGTAAATATTTTTTCGTCAATTTATTATTATTATTATTATTTATTAATCATTAATTTATTATTATAATTATTATCATTATAATTATCATTAATTTATTGTTATTATTATTATTATTATATTTATTATTATTAGCCCAATCATTAAATTCGGTACACCAGCAGCTCAAAAACGTTCTGAAAAAAGAAGAATTGCTTGCATGTATAGATATTGTCCCCAATATTCTGTAGAAAAAAGAGCTTATTGTAATTGTCCTTCCCCCCTACCTACCTACGAGACCGCCTGATAAATTACAAAAAATCGTGATTATTTTGTCCGTTTATACTTTTAATATTTCTCGAAAGGGTACATTTAAATAGTAATATTAGTGCAATTATTTTTTCCCAAATAGTCTTAGTAATAAATGTAAATTTAATATTGTATGTCTTTGATTCGATTTAAATTAATTAATAAATTCCTTTTTCGAGAGTGCCTCGCTTTAAACTTTGAAAAAAAATATTATTTATATTTAAAAAAATATATTTAATAAATTTTCAGGATATATTAATATTGACTATTTTTTTGGTGATTTTTTTAATAAAATTTATTCAATATTCTATTAAATTATTAAAAAAAACTTTATATGACAAAAACGAATTTTTATTTATTATTGAAAATTCATGCTATTTATAATAAATAAATAAAAAATTTTAACTCAAAATTTTCATAATTTTTTAATTTAGTTATTTTCAAAAAAAAAATTAAATATAAAAATTAGTAGATCTGCAAGAGATTTTATTACTACCTTCACTCTGTTCCGTGCCATTTACTAATTTCTAGAAAAACGTCACTTTCTATATGTGACCAAAATTTCTGTAAAGCAATTCCAATTCTCTTAAATTTTTAGGATTTTCTTTTTTTTTTTTCTCGAATACGACGCCAAGTTGATTCAATTGGGTTTAGGTCAGGCGACTATCCTGGCAATGGAAGGAGAGGAATTTTCATTTTTGTAAGAAATTTCGTGTTGCGACACTAGTGTGAATTGGTGTATTGTCTTGTCGAAAAAAATACTTCCAAAAATGTTACCAATGATTTCTTATATACTGTATATCTATTATTATTAATTCGCCATCAATTCAGATTAAAAGGCCTAATCCATACCGTACCAAGAAAAACACTCCCCATATCATGATACCACCATACCTTACGGTTGGAAGCCATCCTTCATAAATAAATAATGTAAATCGTGATTCGTCACTCCAAATCAATTCATTAATCGTCCACGATCATCTCTCACATGTCCAATTTAAATGATATTGAGTTTTAAGGGCTGTTCGACTATGAAACCCCATTTTTATTTTCATATAGTTTACGCTTAATAGTGCTTTTGCTTACTTCATTTCTTGTACATTCATTAAAGTTTTCTTGTAATTGTTCAGATGATTTACACCGATTTTTGAAATAACGATTTTTTTTTTTAAATTTTTTGGTCGCCCACTTCCGAAAGCGACGATATTTAGATATAATATCATGAATAGCAGTCTTTCCACACCCAGTTTTTTTTTTGAAATGGTTCTTCGGAGTAACCAGCGAGTTAAAAACCAATAACTTTGAAATCCGTTAACTCTTTTTTTAACCATTCTAGAGTAAATATGTTCATTGTATATCATGCAAATAACGGGTTTCTTTTAATATGAAAAATAAGCTTTTAGATCCGACATATGTTAGTTATCAATTCACTTATCATAAATTTTAAAATCGTAAATTTACGTAAAATCAACGTAGGTCTCGTATTTTTGTGTAAATTATGCGCATTGTACAATTTACGAAAAATATGTATGATCCTACGTAATATATGATTTGTGTAAATTTATGAATCGAAATTACACGTATGCAAATTATATGGCTCATATAATATTACGTTTACGCATTGAATTTTACGTAAATTATATGGACATATAATATTACATAGATTTACGCATATTTTTTATAAATTATGTGCATTTTATGTAAATTATACAATGCATATAATTTACGTAAAAATATGGGACCTATGTAAAATTTCCTGATGCAAATAACGTTTATTTTATCCAACTTTACATAGCTTAAATGCTAGTCAATTTATCAAATAATTAGTGCCTTGTAATGTTCTATCAAACATAAATAATGTCTCTGGATCTATGAAATCTTGCTGCTAAATTCTTCATTATTCTTAAAGTGAATTATTGTCTTAAAAAATACTACTTTTTTAATATAACATCCATTCTAGTAATTAATGATGAGTTATGTGTATATATTATAATTCAAACGGTCTATGTTAATATGACTAACTTTGATTAACATGATTTAAATATAAGTGGTCAAATTTTTCTATTGGTTGATTTTAACACATTGCCTTTTAACCTAAATAAAATAATAGATGTAGCTGAAATCAATAAACCCAACGTCGACAACCATCACCAAAATTGCCAACACCCCCAATAATACAATGATAACAACACACAAACACTATAAGCACGATTAACGCCAAAAACAAGAAATATTAATTTTATTTTGAAACAGATGACATATCGGAAGTTACAGATACATCGATTAAGGTTAGTCAAACCCAAATACCCTATTGAAATATCCGATGACATTTGAATGTTTCTATAATGGCTACACTACACCATCTATTAAAGATGAAGAGGAAAAAGATATATCTGTAATTGCACCAAATTGATTTTATTTACTTTAACTCAAACACACACGCATATATGTCAGAGCTTTTTCGGTCAAATCCATATCAGATATCCTTTCCACGTACCCCACGTATTTCACGTACTTCGTCCAAACATACAACACAATATTTATTTAATCTTTGAGGATCAATTCATTTTTCGCTTTGAGATCCTTTTTGACTCAAATGCTTTTTGATTCAAATAGTCCATAACCATAGTATCAAGTCGCTGCATCAAGTCGCTGCATCAAGTCGCTGCATCAAGTCTAAAAGTTATGAGATGCACTATGATCAATTCGTTCCTTTGACGATCACCAAATAGACGATCATAGTAGAGTTGCACAACTGACAATATTGAGGTGGCACGAAAAGGACAAAAGTCACGGGGGATGAATTATCTTTGTTGTGTCATCCATCATCCAGGATAATTGATTATTTTATCCTGGTACGAAAACGTTTTTATGGATGAAGGTAAACAGAAAGAAAAATTATAAAATAGCAGTGGTTGGAAAGAAGAAAAGAAGATTCCTCTCTCGCAAAAAAAACTTTTAATTCATATAATATTTTACCTTGATAACGAATTTCTCAATAATTTTAATAACAAATAATTTCGTAATAATCCTAATAATTCATAATTACTTTTCTTATGTTTTTATAATAAATAATTTCTCAAATAATCTTAGTAATACAAATAGTTTCAAATAGTATTTAATAATAATAAATAATTTATATAATAGTTTTAAATTTTAAATAGTAATAAATAATTTTGTGTATCAGAATAGCAATAGGGATAAGATATGCCAACACAGTAATATATCTATTCTTTTAATAAATTTTAATAAATATTTTAATAAACTTTTCTATATTTCTCAGCAATTTACTCCAAAAGTCTGTTAAATTTTGGTAGTGTACAAAGCATATAGTAAATATACTTTTATTCCACTTACTTCATCAGGAAATTTTTTCTAGTGAAAACCTTCGAAAGTTAACGTTAACGTAAGTATTTTGCTGTTTTTTGATATGTTATCCTTCGAAGGTCTTCGCTAACCTTCGAAGATTATCGATTTTGATATTTTCACGTGGCAAAATTTTGCGAATATTATCGTTTTCGTAGTAAATTCATATCGATAACCTTCGAAGATTATCGATTTTGATATTTTCATGTGTGAAATTTTACGAATATTATCGTTTTCGTAGT